ATAGAAACTGGAAACTTAAACGTGGGAAATCAACTTACTTATTATCTTTTATTGAATTTTTCCAGTCTTTTAAATCTGGTAGATGTAGAAAAATATCCTTGAATGAAGTAGACGAAAGTAAGCGAAGGCACGTAGCCCTTCACTCTAACCAAGTTGACGTTACAGTGTTGTAATAAAACAACTCAGTTTATTAAGGGTCTGTCAAACTATAACAGATGCAGTCAGAAAACAAAATGAGTTTCTAAGATTATTAAAAGTATGCATTTCAGTGTGGATGCAATCTGTCCTCTCCCCTTCAGCCCCAGCCCTTCCCCCCTCCCTTAAAATGGGGGTGAGGGAACAAATACAGTAAGAAAATTAATACATTCAATTATAGAGGATGTATGTTTTCAGAATCCTTAATGAAGACAGGAAACTTTGAAAGTATCCATTAGCCCAAATCCAATATTCACATTTTTATTTTTATTTTTTTCAAACCAAACTTCTCAAGCTATCTGTTGATAAGTTAAAAATCCTATGGCACAAAATTTTCACAAAAAAAGTTAAGGCAGAGACCAACAGTTCATATAAAAATAGCTGAATCGGTTTCTTATGAATAACCTTTTTTTTCCTGTGTGTTCTGGATTTTGATAATACAAGATTATAAATAGGTTTTCTGTGTATGTAATGTGTGTATATGAGTGTGTACAGCACACACACACACACACACACACACACACACATACAGACAGAGAAACAATATCAGTACAAATGGGTGGAATCCCTTTTAGCAATAAACCAAGATCACATATCCTGGGTTACAATGGAGGTACTCAAGATAAGAATCTGTCAAAGACTTCTTGCTACACATGACCATTTACATACTGTAAATCTGCAGTATAAACACTGAGTTTTGCAGAGAAATTCAGCTTTAAATCACCCTAAATTTACAAAACTCACCCAAGTTAGCCAAATGGACATTCTGTAAATTCCTTCCATTTCAGTGGCACATTTTAATAAACCAACTTACATTAACAAAACAAAAGAAGACAAAATACTCAACATTTTCCAAAGCATCAACAAAAATTTAAATCAAGTGTTACCATCCCCACAAAGCAGGAAAATTTCTAAAGAGAGGTTTCAGATGAGGTCAGATGGACAAAAGTTAGGAGCATTTATGGAGCTGCCGGCTTACAATTCACAGAGAACTTTTACAGTGTATTCATACTTGATCCAAAACTTTTATTTATTTTGCATTTGTCTTGCTTTCAAGTGATGAAACTTAGAACCCATAACCCCTGCTGGAAGGTTCACTCAAAAAAGCATTAAAATATATGTGTTTTTTTTTAATATTACATGCTTCACTCTTTCCATGCACTAACCAGAAGCAGGTGAATTCCAAATACTTTGACAGAACACCATTGCAATAAAAAAAGCAGAAGAGGACAAAAATAATCACTTTGTTTTATTGTAACCAAAAGTGGGTTTAACAGCTGGAAAATGCAGTAAATTGCCACTATTCCAACTGCCCAAAGATTTTTGAGCAGCTGTTCAGTTGCCAGCATTCTGCCAATGGAACAAGGAACATACGTATATTTCGCTCATATTTTTCTCTTTAAAAACTCAACACTGCTACCATGAGCTACAGTAGAAGAATAGGAAGTTGGATGCGCTGGGCAATGGACCGCCTTAAACCAGCATTTCTCAACCGTGGCAACTTTAAGATAGGTGGACTTCGGCTCTCAGAATTCTGGAAGTTGAAGTCCATCCGTCTTAAAGTTTTCGAGGTTGAGAAACATTTGCCTTAAATGGAGTGTTTGCATATATGAAAAAAAAGAGCCACCATTCTGTGCAATGATGTGCGTTACAACCTTAGCCATCCTTGCAATAACCACTTAAATTGGCACGGTTTAGGGACTGCGTTCATAGATCAGCCTTGTCAAAGAACTCAACGGCCTTCTTTTCTAATTGAATTGGTGATTTCCAAAGTTGAGATACTCTGTCACTCTAAGACATAGATTGTTTAGCCCCTTAGTTGAAGACATGATATCTGATGGCTTCACGCAGTAAACCATAAACCACTATTTGTAAATCATGGCGGATGGGTCAGTATAATGTGGACATAGCATGATTTGAAGCAGCAAAAGGACCAAGCCATATGCTTTTTCAGTGGGAAAGTACGTAGTTTTCTTTCCAGGAAATTATAATGTTCAGCTTCTAAATACCTTCTGGATTATCTATCCTGACACTTGTGTCCCAAATCTTTTAAATAGGTAAGGAGAGTTAATTCAGTTTCTAGAGACTGTTCAACACCTAAACATGTTTTTTTTTTCCTGATAAAATACTGGGAAATTAAAAGGATCATCAGGATATGGAAAACACTGTTAATAATACACACTTTTAATTGTTTGGACTAATTATTTGGCTGCACCTGTCAGAACCCAAAAGAAAGCGAAGCTAACTTTAAAAGCTAGAAACAGAAGTGGTAGAAGAAGACACTTCCAGATGGTGTTCAGAAGATGTCTAAGAGGGATCAGTTTTGAATTTATTTGCCTAAGCAGCTTGCACCTGCAATGGAAAAGCGCCTATTGTAAGGCCATTAAAGGTAGGGATAATTCTGAAACTAATCCAGTAATTAACATTCAGTTAAGACACATTCCTGTGGGGAAACTCAACAATACCCATTCATGTCAATGGATCTCTTGAAGGAACTTCCTCCAGTCAGCTGTACCTTTATTGTAGAATATACTGCATTTCCCTTCCATACTTTTTTACATGGATATGCAAACACCATTTGCCCATCAAATGGGCACACCAACTTTCTTCTGAACTGAGCTGGGAGCTCCATGACAGGTTGCCATGTTTACTTGGCAACACATCTAAAGTGCTCCTAAGCTTCTTTCCAATTTCCCATTCATATGACCATCGATTACTTTCATACTGCTAACATTAGATTCGACAAAAGAGCCACCTAAGCAAAAGACGACAATATTTGGGAGAAAAATGACCCGTTGTTCCTTTCTTCCCAAACCAGAAATTATCAAGTAGTTGGAAATTATTCGATCATTTCAAATGTACCAAGAAGCTACATTACAGTCTACTTCAGAGGTCTCCAAATTTGGCCACTTTTAAGACTTGTGGACTTCAACTCTCAGTATACCCCAGCCAGCTGCCTGGGGAATTCTGGGATTTGAAGTCCACAAGTCTTAAAATTGCCAAGCTTGGAGAGTCCTGATCTAGTGCACATCCAAGGTTGCATCAACTTGGCAGAGGTAGCCTGTAAAGTGTATGTATAGATGTCTTAAGTATTATGTAAATTAAATAATACAGTAAAATATTTCACATACTCATGTTAATTTGCTGAAGCTCTTTGTCTATCACATCCCACATTTTCCCCCAAACAAAATGACACTTAAAACGTATTTAAAATTCAGGTCTGATGTCCCCTGACAACCAAGAGATAGGTCTTCCTATGAAAAGAGAACACCAGAATTCATGCTTCAAAAGAAGGATAAGTAACGCAATGTATTACCTACCCACTTTAATGTTCGTATATAGTTTCAATCTGTCCCAACAGTGCTTTTCCCAAAAAGAGCAGAATAATAGAGTTGGAAAGGACCTTGTAAGGTCTTCTAGTCCAACCCGCTGCTCAAGCAGGAGACGCTATGCCATTCCAGACAAGTGACTGTCTAGTCTCTTCTTAAAAACCTCCAGTGTTGGAGCACCCACATCTTTTGGAGACAACTGGTTTAATTGTCCTCACTTTTGGGAAATTTACCCTTAGTTCTTCTAGGCTGAGTCTCTCCTTGAATTGAACTGAATTTGAAGAACTTGGGAAGTTTCTTGGATGAGAAGTGAAACGTTTTCAAAACCAAGAAAGTCCACTTGCCTTTTGGGAAAAGCACTTTGGTGGCAGCCATGACCTGGCTGATGGGAGACCCTCCGTTGACATGCAATTTCAATCCTTTCCCTGAAAATAGTGTTAAAATACCTTGAACAACGGAGTGTCCGCACACATACAAGATGGACATTACGAAGTACAATATACCTTAATGTTTGAAACCCCAGCCTATTGGATCATGGTCCAAGCGGAGGTTATCATCAGCCATCTTTTGTTGCTTTTATCTTTTTTTTTTTAAATAACAGAACAATGAGCGAGTGACCAGGGGAAAAGGAAGCAGACCTCTTGCATTACCCCAAAAGAATCTGATTCTATTAAAGGTATCTCCATTCAGTGCAAGTGTTAAAAGATACATGAGCGTTGTCTCCACAAAGTCCCTAGGCTTCACAGAGGGAGAGAAACAAGGAGCATGAAAGACTGTCAAGTTAAAAATGGGCTCTTGCAATAGGTTCTGGTTAAAACACCACTTTTTAAACCGTAACCTTTCTCTAAGGACCCATTTTGGATTTGAAAATAATACTAGCGGTCCTTGACTTACGACCACAACTGAGCCCAAACTTGCTAGGCAAGTCAGTGGTTAAGTGAGATGTGCCCCGTTTTATGACCTCTCCTGCCACAACTGTTAAGCGAATCGTTGCAGTCATACAGTTAGTAACACGGTTGTTAATCAAATCCGGCTCCCCCGTTGACTTGGCTTGGCAGAAGGTCGCAAAAGGGGATCACGAGACTCCCTGGGACACTCAACAGGAACCAGCTGCCAAGCGTCCAAATTTGGACCCCGTGACCTGGGGGATGCTGCAACGTTCCTACTGTGAAAAACAGTTGTAAGTCACTAGTTTCAGTGCCGTTGTAACTTCAGCCACTAAACAAACGGCTTTAATTTGAGGACCACCTGTAAAGGCTTTACAGTTCCAGTGGATACGGGCTAGCTAATTCATGCACAGATTCAGCGATTTTATTATAAACTGTTGTGAGGTCTGGAAGGATGTCGTAGAAATTATTTTAATACAGACAATAGGTAAAGCGCGTCTTCTCATCATTGGATGAGACTTAACGTCAAATGGAGTCTCGCATCCGTGAAACATCTCAGTGTGCCGTATTCTCCAACATATCCATTAAAAAAAAAAGACAAGTGTAGAACTCAGATCGTACATTCAGCCTCAAAGGAAGAGCAAGCATAAAGGAACTCCAAGCCATTAAAAAAAAAAAGGTCTATCATTTGCAAGAGTTGTGTTCAGATCACACTGGCAGCCAGGGAATTACTAGCCAGGAATTTCATGCCTTTAAAAATCAAAATAAGTGCCTTAAAGTTGGAACTAGGCATACGCAAACCAAAGTGCTAAGACAAATCACTGGTAAAAATAACATTTTCCAGTTCACAGAAAAAAATTGCCTAATCAGCATGTAAGCCTACCATTAGAATTTGTTAGAATAGTTGCAAAGCTGAAAGGCATTTTTATAGCTTTGGAATATGGGCATCTACATCCGAGGTAGCTAAATATAAACAAAAACAAAACCCAACCCAATAGCTTTTCAGTTCTTTCAAAACTCTGTTCAGCCTGCATTGCCACTAAAACCCAATATTTATTATGATGTCTGGATTGCTGCTCTTTGACTAAACAACACAAGAAGCGTCCGACCTATTGGCTTGCCTGGGCCACATTGAGTGAAGAGGAAATTGTCTTGGGTCACATGTAAAATATAGAATATAGCTAATGTACATAAATCACATAATAATGTTCAAAGTTGACCAAGAGGAGATCTTGGTGCTCTCTGAGCTTGATTGTTTTCCGGCAGATGTTTCATTACCCAAACTAGGTAACATCATCAGCGCTCGTAGTTTACAATGATGTTAAAGTTTAGTCTTATGGAGCCTCATCGCTAGTTGTCCTGGGCCGCCGCATGTGGCCTGTGGACCATAGGTTGGACACTTGCCTTAGGTCAATGTTTCTTAACCTTGGTAGCTGTAAGAGGAACACCAAGAATTCCCCAGCCAGCACAGCAATCCACACATCTTGAGAAATGCTGGCTTAGATGATCGTGGAGGTCTTCAGGACAGCCCTTCTCCTCCCAATGACCATCAGTTGCAACGATCACCATTTGGCTAAGCAAATGCAAACAGAAATGGCATTCGAAACAACAGGTGCTGAGCCTAAAAACAACATGCAGTTCAGATCTTCAGATCTTTTCCTATAGACTTTTAGGCTCTCCATCACAACCTTCCTTCTCTATTAGGCTGGCCTTATCGTGCATTACCTCAGCTTGCTTCCTATCTTTTACATTCATGGTGTTGTTGTTGTTTTTAAATGCATGTAGTGTTGACTGTTCATGTGGACAACAAGCACTTCAAGCTGCATTTTATGACTCCAGAAACACGCCACAAAGGGCCATGCCATGCCAGACGTGACGATCAACGTGGCAGTGAGCATAGAACAGCTTCTTGAGAATCTCATGTAGTTTAGTTTTATTGCTGCTAATTGTGCTATACAAACTTTTTTTTTAAGGAATGCTTGCTGGAAACTCAGAAGCGAGAGGTATGGCTTCGTGAGTTTCCCAGTGTTCAGAGGTAAGGGAACATCAGAATTCTCCTGATCCCCTTTCCAGAAAGCAAACGAGAGTAGTACTAAAAAAAAAAAAGAAGAAGCCATAATTATCCCGTGTCAAATAAATTTGCATAATTTATGCGGGCAAAAAAGAAATACAGCCTTCTTTGGCATCGGATTTTGATGCGGAACGGTGCCCAATCCCACCACCCTTTTTATCTTTACTCGAGAGGAGATACATCATTGCTCATAGTCAAGTACATTCGCTTTCGCCCAGAGGTGCAAATTAGACAGGGGAGGGGTGGAAAAAAAACAACCTTTTAGTTTCTCCTCTATGAGATGCGAACTTGCAAAACCTTTTCCTCTGGGCCAAGATCTTCTTAGGCTAAAAGTTGCAATCCTGCTTCTCCTGTGCTTTTTCATTCTCGGAGAGCAACTAGAAAGACAGCAAAGAGATAAAATGCCAAGGAAGGAAGAGGGCAGGGAGGCGGTGGCAGCTAAGGTGAAGAAGCTGTGAGCTGGAATTTAAGAGTAACTTACAAGGGGACTTTAGAAGGGGGAAGACCATTTTCTTACACAGCAGTTTTCTTGCCAACATTCCCATTAAATGCAAAACCAGTGTCTTCCAGGTTTGTGCTCTGGGGCGTCATTGGAGCATCTCTTATTTATCTTACATTTTTGTGAATGAAGCACTGAGAAGGCCTTCAAGGCCACACACCAAGGAACCCTTAGCCAGGAGAAAGCCTATCTACCTGGTCGCTTGGAGTCAACATGGATTTGACAAGCACCTAATCAATTGGTTAAATACTATCCCAAAGAACAAAGCATACAAATTGGTAAGTAACATTTTCATTATCCTATTTAAGACACAACATACATGACTTTAGATCAAAATTCTAAAAAAAAAAAATGTTTAAGATTAAAAACATTAATCTTAAAGTTTCCAGCAGTAGTTGAAAAAGAGGAAAATTATGCATTGGACTGTTCAAGGTTATTCTGAGGATTTTGATGCACGCAGCAAAGATGGAAAACTCCAATGTATTTCTCACTGAGTTCAGGTCTACACGGCCTACTAATTGCTTAACAAAATCGATCAAAATAACTTTTAAGCCTGGCTGCATAAATGTGTTGTACATTTGCTAAATCCTATTCAGAGCTAATCCATAAATTAGTGTTTGCTTGCTAGCTAGGTGGTTTGTTTGTTTAAAAAAAGCAATTATCTTAATAAGTATATGGACTAAGTAATTGCTCCACATTAAAAGTCCAGAAATATATTTCCCCTTCGAGGGAATTCTTATCAATATTTCTCACACCACGTATGAAGCTTTTTTCTTCTCTTGAGAAACAATTTCCGCATTTTCATCTTTTTTTTATATGAGGCTCATGGACCAGTCACTTGTAAGTAAGCCTCAAATCTGCCAGACCTTCAGACGTGGATATATACTGGATCTTCGCAGCATGACCGGAATTATTACTACCAATCTCTACAGTATACTAAAGGGGAAGGCTGTGCAACTGGAAATTGTATTTTCTGAACTGTGCACTTAAAAGAGTCAAGTGTTTTTCCTTGCTTGTTTGGAATTTCCACCTGCTGATATACACAAAATAATTTATTAGAGCTAAGATAAATAGATTTGCTTTTTTCAGTAATGAAAATATTCCAGAATATTTCATCATCCCAAAATGAAGAGAAGATATTTGCTGCTATATACAGAAAAAAAGAAAAAAGAAAGACCAACAATTCTTTGTTTGATCCCTGGTTAGAATGATCATCATTTGAATGAAGGCCCAAATTATCCCCACTGATCTCTTGAAACCTATAATTTCCAGTGATCAGTCCATCTACCTGAGAAGGAGAAAAGAACAAGAAAAGGCAAAATATCACACTGTAGGACTGACGGATTAACATTAGGAAGTTATTAACAGAATTCACTACTATTCTTCCATTCTTGGGTGCTCTCCTTAGGTCAAGGGTTTATTATTAAGTTCATGTTATTATGAAGGTACCATCATCAAGAGAGAGCTGCCAGAAGCAGCTTTCAAGTAGTTTTCACATTTGTCAACAGCAACACTCTGAATCTGCAGAAACTATCAAAATGCCCTCGATATACAATTGGCCTCACGGGCCTTCCCATCCTATGTCTTCCTTCATATTTAAGGATATTGGTTAACCCAATGTAATCAGTTCAAAACATACACGTTAGACAAGCTATACGGTGTGGTTTTCCTTTGTCAAAAAAAGATTACAAACTGTCCAAGGCATTTTTTTCGGATGAAGATGACAAGCTGAATGAGGTATCGTCGGGTTCTGGAGATGTATGATTGAAATCCATCTCTTCCAATTCTGGAGGTAAATCGGCTAGAAGTGCCTGAGAAAATGGAAACAACGAAAAGTTGCTATTTATTCTTGCGAGTTTGAGGTCCTATCACATCAACAATTAACCAGTGGAACGGCTTTCCTTCAGGAATTTGGGGTGCTCCGTCACTGGAGGCTTCGAAGAAGAGTCTGGACTGCCACTTGTCTGGAATGCTATAGGCAGGGGTCTTCAAACTTGACAGCTTTAAGACTTGTGGACTTCAACTCCCAGAATTCCTCCTCCGGTCATGTTAGCTCAGGAATTCTGGGAGTTGAAGTCCACAAGTCTTAAACTTGCCAAGTTTGAAGGCCTTGGTATAGGGTCTCCTGCTTCAGCAGGGGGTCGGACTTATTCTGTTTTGTTTTCAATCTCGGCATTACCTGTTCATGTCTCACCTGCTCCAAGATCCAAACTAGGCAAAACAACTAAGTCTAATGTGTGTCCCCCCCCACCCCACCAAGAGAAAGGGACTCAGGCCAGGAAGACAAAATGGGGAGTGACTGAATGATAGGGATGATTCTCTTGATGCTAGGTCAAAAGTGGCATTTTTGCAGTTCTTCATTCAGTGAAATTCATTTCATTCGTTATATTGCACACATCATGTTTTAACATTTTAAATGTTCACGTTTGTCATTTTAATCTTTCAATGGTTTAACCAATTTTGGCTTGTTTTGATGAATTGTAAAGTCACCTTGTAGGAGAGATGGAGGGCATAAATATTTAATAGATACCATAAATCCATCCCAGTCTCTGTAATCCACATTTAAAAAGCTCTATCATAAAAAAAAAATATTCCAAGGCAACATCTTCACTGTGTAAATATTTACACATATAACATTAGTGGCAGAGAGTTGCTTTCGCCGGGAGACCTACTGAAACTCGATTTTTTCTTCACAGCAGAGGCCTTCAAAAATGACAAAAGTTTGCTTCCTTTTTCTTTAGTCTTACCTGCTGCTGATCTTTATCGTCTGTTTTGACAGCAAGTATCAAACTTCTCGTGAAAGTCTGGAGTTCAAAATACTTCTGTTTTTGATGCTCCAGTTCACTCTCAACGAACCTTACTTCCTCGTTCTGGAAGGAGGAAAAAAGTTCTATATAATATTTCATTTTGTAAGGGAGTTAAACTGTTCTTCTCAAATGTGCCCCCCACCCCCCGTTGGCTTTTTAAAGGGGAGCGATATTTGCAAATATGTAGAGTTTTATGCTTGAGAAAAAGTCAGTTGATATAAAAATAATTCACTTTCTCACTTACAGTTTTGAGATGCAAAACATGAAGTTATGGTATTTATAATAAATTTACAAAGTATTTTTCCAAAACATTTTCAAAATGAGAAATACTAAATAATAAATTAAAGTATAGCAGCACAATCCAATTAAACACTAAAATGCAGAAGCAAAATGCACCCTTCTTAATCCTTATCTTATCTTATCTATCTATCTATCTAAAAATCTCCCTATCTCTCTCTTTCTGTCCTATTATTGTAATTAGGAAATACTCTTCTTATTTATTTCAACAACAAAAACTGCAATAGATAAGAACTCCATTTTTAAAAAAGATGATAACTTATTATTCTCAGATACTAGCTCATTTTACTGAGAATAGCAGAATTCAAAATTTATCAAAATTCAACAATAACACATTCTTGCAGTTATCAGATCACACTATTCAGATTGGTGGCAAGTGATATTAAAGAAGAGAAATCACTTTCTTCACATTTATCTGGCACTGTATTTTCTCTTAAAGCAGGAATCATGAAGTAAATTGTTACACACATATTGTGTTTTTTCCCCAAAGGCATCCACTTACTTTAAATCTGGCAACATTCTAGGATAACATGCATTCTATATTGTTACACCAAATGAAACCTAAGTTAGAAGAGATCCACCTCCAATTCTTATGTATAGATGTAACCTTTGCAAATTTGGCAAAAAGCTGCTCTTATTATATTCCCAACTGCTGTTGCTTATATGGCATCAAAAGCAAACATTATAGCCTGTAATCTACAATCTGGTGAAATTGGAACATTCTGCCTTAAAAAAATAAATAAAAGTCATTCATCCTACTTCTAAAAGATGTTTGCTTCAGCACCATCTGCCTGTGGTTATGTTCTCACGGTCCCTAACTTGTACTCAAGACTTTGCAAGCACTTACTAGGACCAGAAGGTGGCTCAGGAATTCGGGGAGTTGGAAGTCCGCAAGTCATAAAGTGAGGCCATGGTTCCCCCACCTCTAATTTAGAGGATAAACAGAAATAGAAGGCACTTACTTTGTAGTCCAGAAGAGAGCTCATTTGATCCACTTCAGAATTGCTTATCATATCGCTTTCTTCATCATCTATTATTTCTATTTTCTTAAAGAAAAAACAAACAGTGTATTTCATTTTTGAAAGCAAGGTCAGGAACTCATCCTCCACAAGAAGCTTTCCAAGACTGGATATTCTGCATTTTGATTTTTTCTCCCCCGCCACTTCCTCCCGCAATTCCATGGGTAGGATTCTACCTGGTCAGACTGGTTCTATAGAACCGGTTGTTATGATTCTGCCCAGTTCGGAGAACCAGCAAATCGCGCCACTGGCTGGATCCTCCCCTTCTCTCCCTGCCACTCACTCTAGGAAATCGTTGTATTTCTTGCTTTCTAGCTGATCTAAAAGCAGAGCTGAACCTTCCTTAGGACTGATGCTTCAATTTTTCAGTGAAGACTCAGGTAGCAGATTGCAGAAAGATAGATCTCTGAATGAATCTGTGATTCTGTGAGCAACTCAATCTGCCTGCCTGTTTTGTCTGATTTGGGGTAAAAGTTGCTCTTTTTTTAATAAAAATTCAATATTTATATAAATATTTATAATATTTACATACAAGCCATGCCCAACGAGTCACATGACCACCAAGCGACACCCACAAATTAGGCCATGCCCACAGAACCAGTTGTTAAGAAATTTGAATCCCACTCTTGCCCAATTCTATGGCACAACAGCAAGCCCTTCAGATATCAGTACATCAAGCTTTGCAGTTTTAATTTAGTAAGCTGATTTTAGGAAGCGTTCTCACCACATTATCTGAAGATACAGTAGCATGGTCCTCTTCTTTGTGGCCAATGCCTTCATTTGGAAGAACTTCATTATGTTCTTCTGCAGAAATAAACAATGATGTAGTTCTAAGCAAAGTGCTGATCTAAAATAAAGACTGTCAGAAAATCCCCAGAAAGAAAGAAAGCAAAAGCATGTGTCCGCTTCACAGACAGTTATGAAAAAAAGTCAAATCAAATTTGTCTATATGCTGTAATTAAAAGAGTTAACAACAAAATGAATTTTTAAAAACCCCAAGATTGTTAGAACTTCTGATTTTATTTTATTTTTTTGCTTCTGTTGAATGCTTCTGTTGTTTTTCTTCTGAAATAGTGATGCTAGAATTAAACTCTGCATGGTAGTGACAAAAATAATGAATCATTATTCGGTCTCAGTACTGAGCACCTCTTCGCTTTATCTTCTATCCAAGACATAGCATATAAGTGATGCTTGAGCAGGGTCTGCAGGATTGTCTGGGATGCTATACCTCCTCTACACAACCTGTTTTCCTTGTTACCTTCTGAGAGGATGGGGCTTTGTGGTATCCGAAGCAGAACATCCAGATTCAGCCACAGTTTTGTTGCAATATAGCAAAAACCCTTGTGAACCCTAAAGTTTCCTCTTTCCGCTAAGTATTCAAAAATGGACAGTATGCGTGTGCGTGTGTGTGTGTGTGTGTATTAGATAGATAGATAGATAGATAGATAGATAGATAGATAGATAGATAGATATAAACAGATAGATATAGATAAACAGATAGATAGATACCGATACATAGATAGATAGAGAGAGAGAGAGAGAGAGAGAGAGAGAGACCGGTAGATAGATGATAGACATAAATAGATCAATCAATAGATCAATATAGATAGATAGATAGATATAGACATATACTAGTAGATAGATGATAGACAGATAATATAGGTAGGTAGATAGATGTATATAACACACACACATACATATGTGTATATGTACGTATATATGGTTAAATTGGTTAAACCAAATGATGAGATCAAGCCTGGCATATCTATCCACTAATGTGCCCTAGAAACAGGCTATTTTTGATGTATCCAAGGCAAAACCTTGGCAATTTGTTCCAGTCAAACAAACCAGGAGCGATTAGCTGAACTGTGAAGTTGGTAAAACATGAACCCCTGTTCATTTTTAACTGACAAGACTTATTGTTGCTTGTACATTTTAAAACACACTTCTGGCATCATGGCAGCCTGCTTCTGTCACTTGTTAAGGTTGCTAAGAATGGAGTCTAACTCTAAAGGATCCTTCTCAGCTGTCTTAAAGGTCCAGTGCCAAGTTATGAGTCTGTGCCTCTCTTCTCCCCCCAAAATTAATTATCCCTTTAGAATTATCCTGAAAAACAAAATTTTATCTAGACTTGGATTGTCCAAATGAACAATGAAATATTCAGACAAGATACACATGCAAAATTATGTTGGCAAAAATCCTGCCCCAGACTGACTTTTTAACTAGGATTAGGGTGTATCGGTAGAAAATTGGCAAAAAAATATGTCATAAAAATCAGGCATGATTCATTTTAACAGCTGCCTTGCTTAGCAGTATAAATTGTGGTCCCAGTTGTGGTGATAAGTCAAGGACGTATTACAAATCCTGAAGGCCCCATGTGGTTACAATGCCAATGGCAGCTTTGAATACCATGGTCAGCTCGCCATGGCCAACTCACTACGGGAGAACTCCCTGAGAGACCATTCAAAAATTCAAATTGAATTATTTAAAATAAAATGAATTGTTGTCATTCACATTTCATTTTATCTCTCCTTTCTTTAATGATTCTATTCCACTGTTTCTTCAATATTGACGTAACTGTTGTCCTGCAAGAAGTTGCAATGCGATGACTTGGCCGCAGTAAGTTGGCTGTGGCGAGTTTGTTCCGTGGCGAGTTGGCCACAGCAAGTTGTCGTAGACCCACCTTGGGAGCTTCCTTCCGATAAGCAGATGGACACTTCATCATTCCTGTCGTTATCATCTCCTATATCAGTCAGGGGGTCATCGCCTGGAATGGGTACCGATTTATCACTGGAATCGGACTGACTCGAAAAAACGGCAGGCCCCCCTCGCGGAGGAGGCACTTCAATGCCCATCAAACGATACTTCCGCCTCCTATTTCCAATCCAAGTCTTGGGTGAGGAAAAAGATAGGGGGAAAAAAATCAAGAGGTTATCACCGATCCCAAAACTGAAATATTAAGGAAGCTACAATCACAACTACACTCATTCAAGAAGGAACACGTTTGCATTATTGAAGTTTCCTTGGAGATACGTAGTTGGCGAAATTCCACATAAGATTTAGAATCCAAGAGAAACTTAACGGAATTTCAACATATGTTCTCATTTCTTCTCTGCTAATTTTATCACCTCTAATCCAATTAGCTTTGGATGAAAAGCTGTTTACATATTGATTATCGATGAATGAATGTCTAAAATGTATCATTTGAAGTTTTAGAATTAGAGGCACCTTAATAGCAGTTACCAGATTTGGCTAAGAAAAGGAAAGAAATACAAAGAAAATACATTTAGAAAGAATTGGATGGCGAGGGCTGCCCTAATTATACCGGATTTCTAAATTGAAACACTTAAAAGCACAAGTGAAAAGATGCGCATAGGATTATTTAGTCCAAAAACTGGTCTTTAGGCAGTATTATATGTAGAACAGAAAGATATAGGACATGAGGGGTCCTTGGTACTCTCTGAACTTGCTTGGTTTCCTGCAGACGTTTCATTACCCTAACTAAGTAACATCATCAGTGCTAGTAAGGAGTGCTGTTACAGATATAGGACACTCGGAATATTCAACAAATGTTTGGGGATGAGGAGGTTTTATACCATTTAATGACTGTTTCAAAAAAGTAAAATCATGAACAATCACATGGTGATCTGCTCGACGACTGGGACAACTTATGACCATAATTCTGGGCTCAATTATAGTTGTAAATTGAGGACTAGTTGTAATTCTCATGAATTCCCAACCTTTCTTCACCTCATCACAATGTATATGAGGCTCAAAAAAAAAAAAATCAGGCCATGTAGGATGAAGTTGATGCACAAGAATCTGGTCAAGTAAGGTCAGCACTAAGTTGGGACCAGATAAGGGCCAATGGAATTCAAGAGGGACCAGACATGGCTTATTCACGGCAACAGAAGGACTCTAAGCTGATGACACATTTTACTCCACCTCCCAGCTCTGATTACTCTCCTCCTACACATACAATGTATTGTATTCTCAAGTCCCCAAGTTGTGACGACCCGGGGCATGGCACAAAGGCAACACAGTCAGATGATCAATAAGAGTCCCTTTATTATCTCCAACTTTGCCCTCAGGTTACCTTCTGGCTGGAGAAAAATTCTCCCAGGAACAGCCTTTGACTGCAGAAAATTCAGTCCAAAACAAGGTAAACACAAACTGTAACTTAAAGTCCAAACAAGCCAAACTGAAGTAATTAGTTTGGCAGGGCAAGAATTTCAGACTTGAAAGCATGGCAAAACTCACACAGTTGGTAAGACACCAGGAACACAGAGAAGCCACGATAATATAAGTTAGTCACTTTGTTCCTAATAGCCTGCCGCATGCAGCTTGCCTTTTTTAATAAACTGTGTTCCCAGCTGCAGCTAATGAAGGGAATCAGGGCCCTCTCCTCCCCCATAAGCCATGCAACCCACGTTGCTCTCTTCTCCGTTCCTCCCTGCGTGCCCTAGGATGAATAGGGGGTGAGCCCAGGTCTTCCTCTAAATTCCCTCTCCCTTGTTCTACTTCTCCCCTTCTCTGACCAGCCAGACTATGGCCTTTCCCAGTTTCCTCCACAGCCAAAGGAGCCACACTCCCACTCCATGTCAGCTGTTGATCTTCCTCCTCAGATTCAGACTCCGACAGGGGCATGACACAGGTATTCAAGCAGAGTTTGCCAAGTTTTCAAATTGGGAAGAAGGATCATACATGCAAAACATTGCTCTTATCTTTTCCTCTTTTGGGGGGTGGGGTGGACAAAACTCAGCTTCCTTCTACAAGACGAAGAACTAAAATACAACTGTTAACTCCTTTTCAGCTTTCAGTTTAAAAAATGATATAAATCTCAATACAATTGAAGTATCAGACATCTAACATATAGTAGCTATCAATAAATGTCTTACCTAAGGCATCATATCTATAAATAGGCAGGAACCAAAGCACTTCCTAATGTAACCTTTCAATAACACGTGCAATCTATTTCGGTCTAACTCTTTGCAATTCAGAAAAAAAAAAGAGAAAACTTTCATCGAGGCTATTTTAGTTTCTACAAATGTAAGTTTCTTACCCTTACTATTTCACAGTCAACATTTAATTCTGCAGCAACGGCTTCAATTTTCTCTCTGCAAACCGATCCAAGGCTGGTCATGCCTTTATCCCAGTATTTCTTAAGGGTGGCTAAATCTCGGTCGCTGAATTGTGTACGGTCCTGTAACTGTAAAACAAGCACATATCCTTTTTCCCCCCTCAATGAAAAGTGCAAAAAAAGGCAGACAAGGATAGGCAGTGAAAATGAGGATCTTCTTAACCAGAACGGGACAACTTGCTGCCGCCAATTTGCCACGGCCAACTCACCATGGTCAATTCACTGCAGCCAACTCGCGGGAAAACTTGCCATGGCCACTTCGCCGTGGGACAATTCAACAATCAATGTAATTATTTAAAATAATTAGAAATTATTTTAATTTTTGTCATTCACAATTAATTTTGTCCCTCCTTTAGCATCCTTCCTTTAATGATTCTACTGGATTATTTCTCTGATATTAATTTAACTCTTGTTTCATGGAGAGTTGTCCCGTGGCAAGTTGGCCACAGCAAGTTGTCCCACGGTGAGTTGGCTGTTGTAAGTTGGTTGCAGCAAATTGTCAGTCCCTTTCTCAACATCAAGTCCTACTTATAATTATACCATCTGGTCAAAAATCTTGGTTTATTTATAACGTTGGTTAAAACAAATTATTCTAAAGAAATAGGTGTAAAATCGAGGAGACTCGTTACAAATTAGCACAAGCTTAGTCACTTGTACCAAATTAAAATGGCTGCATTTAGCTGCAGAATTTTGCAATCTTTTACCTTGAAAAACAGAACGCACCATTGTTTGGAATAAGTACAAGGACAGGGGCGTGCACGCACAAATATGCAAAGATTATTAAATGCAGTCCAGAAACTTGGAAAAAGAACATAGCAATGTTCCAGGAAGTTACCATGGTCAAATTAAATCTTTTTAAACTACAGTCAGTGATCAGCAAGGTAAAAAAACAACAACCCAGAAACAATAATTGAATACAATATATATACTACAGGTAATCCTCGACTTACAAAAGTTTGGTTAGTGACCATAAGTGGCAGGCTCCATTATGGACGCAAGTTGAGAACTACCTGTACCTCAGGATCAGCCACTGAACCTGATAGGCAATAAATAATACATTTTAAAAATTCTGCAACTCACAACCAATAAATTCCGTGTTGCCCAACAACCTGAATACTTATAAAAAGACTCAGGCAATTATTATGTCAATACCTATATAACTAATTCGGTATTTGAAAAAAAGGGGAATATAAGATCTTGCAAAACAAAAGGTTTCATACATATGAGTTTCCCAAGAGATCCGGCCAAACTTCAAAATACAAAGATTATTTCAATTTTTGATCTTTACACTAGAATTCTTAGAACATTAAAAGCAGGATTGCTATCCTCGCCCATGCTCTCTCCTAACAATGAAAAATAAAAAAAAAATGGCTTGATTTGCACTAGTATTTTGATTATATTGATAAGAAGTGAAGAGATTAATGTGCCATAATCAAAACAATCATATACAAAATTAGAGAAAAGCTCAGCTTTTATATATATATTTATTATATATATATATTATATATATTTATATATTTATATATTTAATATATTTATTAAGGAGTCATTTATAGCCCATGGCTTAAAACATTAAGAAACTTTGCTTCAGATCAGTTTTCAGAATGTTTCAGAAGATTATTCTGGTCACAAAACCAACTTGTTAATAGTTTGTTATACTACCATAACTGGAGACAATGACAAATTGCTTTATTTCGTTTGCAAAACTCATTTGAATACAATTTCCCTGTGCAAATGAAGATTATGTAAAAGTCTAGAAATTGGTGCCATTTGTTAGACTACAGCTTCTGCAAACAGGTTTAAAACGGCCTTGAAAGCATTTTTAATTGCACCGATTCAGGCTATTTAACACCAACACAAATTAATATAAGATAGTTAAACAACAACATTAAAGAGGAATCTGTGCATTTTTTTTTTGAAAAAGTAGATTTAGAGTTATTGCAGAACTAAAAGATTCACAGCTTTTCTGTTCTAATGCTTTTAGCTTTGTGCCCCACAGCCTTGATTTCACTTGCCTGAAATTAAAAGATAAAGAAAAAGAAAGAAAGACAAAACTATTTGGAAGCAGACAGAATTTAAACTGAGACTAATGGTCAGTCGAAATGGACTATAAATTGGGACTATGAAAGTTCTACTTTGATAGCCCACAACTGAAACTGTCTTCATTATTCTTGGGATGAGCAAGGCTCATCTTTCAAAAGATTTATTTTGTTTTCCAAGTGCCAAGTTGTTTTAACCCTCATTAGGTTTTCCAGTTGCTTTTAAAAATACCACTCCATTGGTACAATTATTTTCCAGCCTTTTTTTATTATTGTGATGCCGTCGCTGAAACGCAAGAACAAAAACTGTTGATTGATATAATTAATATTAAACCAATTCATAACAGTTAATGGACAGGATTTTTGAATAACAGAGTATAATAACTTTAATTGACTACTGCCTGCATTGATAACAATCCCCCAAAATTTACAGGGCCGCAAAAGAAAAACAACTCAAATCAGAATTATTCCATGCAATGATGTTTCTTGGAAAAATAACGAAAATACTTCTCATTGTTGGCTAAAATTCATTGTAAGCTACTCAGAGCTATGCAGTGTATAAACATACGCAACAAATGAACACACAATCTAAAGCTGAAGGTTGGTGCAGTTTCACAAGAGTTACTCACTGCTCTTTTCCTGGAGCACCCAGTAATCCAAGGCACAGTAAGGTTTCCTGAAATCTGTGGAAAATAAAAAAAAAATTACCACAAAGGTACATATGGCATGCTGCATAGATAGATGATCATCTGAAGCAGTGGTGGGATTCAATTTTTTTTACTACCAGTTCTGTGGGCGTGGCGTGGCTTGGTGGGCGTGGCTTGGGCGTGGCAGGGGAAGGATACTGTAAAATCCCCATTCCCTCCCCACCCCACTAACCTGCTTTCCAGCTCCGTTCTCCTATGCAGGGCAACAAAAGAAGACTCAGCCAATCAGCTGGGACACAATGGGAGGCAGAGAATAGATGGGGGCGGGGCCAGTCAGAGGTGGGATTTGAAACTACTCAAATTTCCGCTATCGGTTCTCCAAACTACTCAAAATTTCCGCTACCGGTTCTCCAGAACTGGTCAGAACCTACTGAATAGCACCTCTGATCTGAAGAACACTTAAATGTATTGGAATGCATTCTTTTGAGATGAATGTAAACCTTTCTTCTTTCTCTAAGAAACCTGATTTAGAAAGAATAAACCAGCGGTTCTTAACCTTTTCTTCACCATGGACCCCGTTTTAAATACTTATTGTGGCCACACACGGTGGCCATGGACCCCCAAGACTTAAGATTTAAATCATATGATTTCTTCAAGCCTTCACAGATCCCCTGTGACGACATCACACACACACCGGGGTCCACAGGTTGAGAGCCACTGGAATAAATCATCATTTACTTAATCTCAAACTTATTGAATAATTCTAAATTCTTGCAAATTCAGCCAAGTGCTTTAAAAAAAAAAAGTCTTCAGTTGATTTAAATGTTCCTCTAAACCAGAACATGAATCAATCAATCTTGGCTGTATATGGTTCTGAAGATATTTTCAAAATGATCGTTTCCAAATTCAGATATCATCAGAATTGCAATATCTCTACATAAAAGCAAAATACCACTCACACATCATCACAAAATTTCCAGAGCTGTAAAGCCTACCAACTTAAAATTTGGCATGGAATGTTCCTTCTGGCTTCTAGGTGCTCACTAAGAAAGGATTTTTCAAAATGACTATCAGAGCATTAGTATTTCGTATATTATTATTAACACACTCTGATGCCGAGTAGTTCTATTCCCCATCTCCCACCTGAAAAGAAACCTGTTCCAAATGCAAAACACAAGCATAGAAGTTTCAGCAACCAGCTTTAGTACAGAACAATTGAGCTAAGCCATGCCCAGGCTCCTTGCTGTCTCCTTCTTGCTTACACAGCAAATACTGTTTCACTTTCCAAACGGCCCTCAAAACTGTCACACATTGACAGGATGCCAGACAGATAAATACTGATGGATGCTGGTAGGCAGAGGCAGATTCCCCCCACCTTATTTTCCTCCCCAAAAACTAAGCCTGACCCCATAATTTCATAGCGAAACACGGCTATAGAGCTAGTACTCAAATAAAATATCAAAATGCCAGGGACATAAGAGGAAAACGGGCATGCATAAAGAAATGAATAAGGGGAGGGGGAGGAATAGAAAATTGTTTTTATTTCCTGGTAGCAGAAAAGAAACAATTCCCTTTACAGTCGCTCACGAGCTGGAGTTGATGATTCACATTTAAAAAAAAATAATTGGAAGTGGCACATTTCCTAAATGTCGGACCTTAGGAAGAAAAGCCCAATTACCTGATAATTATTTTGGTTCTGAGATAGCCTTAGTTGATTGGATGCTGCAAAATGAGAAGAAAGGTTACTTCTTGATGGATAGGGATTGCTATAGAGCGTACTGGATGTGCTGTGCAACGAAGTCCGTGGAGGTAAACGGTAGTCTCTGTTGTGATACAAGATATTGTTGTGCAAGTTCCTCGCGTTCAGCACGTGCGAATTGCAACTCATGCTCCTGCCTGAGCCAGAAAAACCAGATCCCGGATTCTCGACGCGGAGGGACGTGCCGCTTAGCCGAGAGTAGTTTTGTATCTGGGCGCCCATGGAGGCCAACTCTTCCTCTCTGGCGTATTCATCGTCCACATCCCCGGTTTCCATCGCGATAGACAGACAACTGCCTTCTCCGGAAGATGACAGGGCCTTCTCTCGACTTCCTCCCAGAGACTGGTCAGTAACAGCCAAGGAAAAAACCTCTCGGATTTCCAAATTGTGGGTGCTACAGGAAGGGTCTCTAATGTTAGATCTCTGCCCGGATGGCACGGAAGAAGCGAGGATGGGGTGCTCTGGCTTTTGCAACCGCTGGCAGCCCACCTGGTCCACTTTGTACGGCCGGTGGCACAAGACAGGCTTTTGAGGTAACACTAATTCCGCCGTCTGAACCGACGAGCCACCGTAGCTTTTCTTCGTGTGGTTGTAAATAGAATTCCCTGAATTCAGCACGCTGGTTTGCCTGGAGAGGATGATGGTTTTCTCGCCCAGGAAAAGCGACGCGTTTTTACAGTGGGGAGCTTGGCGGGTCACTGCGATGTGTTGCCGCTGGAATTCGGGATCGCTCTTCCCGGCCGGCCTCGACAGGGAATTTTTATGCATATCGCTCATCAAGGAGTTAGTCTGTTTGGTGGAGACCAGTCTGCCAGACGAAGTAGCCGGGTTATAGATGCCGGTGACAATGACGTCGTTATTGGAGGACGTCCACGAGGACTGCTGGCTCTGGGAACGGGCTATGCTGACCACGTTTTGAACGGCCACTTCCGGAGGCATTGTCAATGTGCTGCTGGTCGTGGCTGATGGGCTTCCTCCAGAATCCACGGCGTTCTTACTGCTCATCTTTCTTCTTTTGTTTCCAACCCACGTCTGCAAACAAAAAGGAATTTGTAAGCAAAGAGGATTCGTAATTTTCAGCTAGCTTTCGAGGTGGCCTTTTCATGGCTCAGCTATGCTAGGTAGTTTTCTGGCCCTCAGCTATAATTTCCAGCTAGTTTTTGAGATAGCTTTCCATCCCCGCACCTATAATTCTAAGCGAGATGGTTTTCCAGGTCTCAGCTATAATTTTCAGCTAGACTTCAAGGTGGTATTTCCATCATTATGTCAAAAGCTTTACTCCCTTACATCTGAAAACAAACTTTGTTTAAAGTTCTGAGAAAACAATAAACACTTTCAACACCTGACTGATATATATGGGAAAGAAAGACAGTTAAGTAATTAAGGATGTAAAAGCCAGTTTAGTGGTTAAGACACCAGCTAGAAACTGGGAGATTATGAATTCTAGTTCTGCCTTAAGGCATGAAGCCCACAGGGGACCTTATGGAAGCCAGTTTCTCTCAAGTCTCAACCCTAGGAAGAAGCCAATGGCATGTCATTTCTGAAATTTTGCCAAGAAAATTGCAGGGACTTATCCAGGCAGTCACCAGGAATCACCACTGACTCAATGCACAATAGGACATTGTGACTAGGAACCTGCCCATTGAAAAGTTACAATATCCAGGATTGTTTTATAAGTTTCATTTTATATTAAATGTTGCATTAATTTAGAAACTGGAAAAAAAAATCAATCTTTGCAAAGACATTGATGGCACTATTCAATTCCTTGAATTTTAACTGTTTTATATATAGAAATGTCACTCGAGTTCTATTTTACGATTTCTTTACATAAAATATGTTTTTAAAATGCGAGTCATTGCTAAAAAAATCTAACAACTGTATAAACTTCACTAGCAATGATCAGCATGAAATAGTTGATGGCAATTCTGTTTGTTATTTCAATACTACTATAAACGAGTATGTGTGTGTGTGTGTGTGTGTGTGTATTACAAATGCAGGTCAGTTTATGACTGGATATCAGTTTCATATTTCTTCTACCATAAGGGAGCAGAGATTCATTAACTAAATAAAATTATATTTATTTTGCACATCTGGTTTAAGAGACAAGTTACCACTAACTTGTCAAAACTTTTCTCAAAAATTCTCAAAAAAGACTTTCGGTTTTCTATACCATTTGCTCTCCAACTTTTCCGGCTTCGTGTCCCAGCTTGGTCTGGGGGGGGAGAGAGAGGGGGGACTGGGATGCAGGAAAAGTGGGCCAGCATGTGCAAATGTGCAGTCTGACGCACACAAGTGGTGGGGTCAGTAATCCGCTCGATTTGTGCGAGCAATGGGGCTGGTGTGCACCTCCCACCTGATTTTTGGCCTGTTTGAGGCCTTTATCGCCTTCCCAGAGGATTGAGGGAAGCCTCTGCAGCCTTGGGAGACCGAAAAACGGGCCTTCCGGAAATACCCAAAGTGCCAAAACGGGCCCATTTTCAGCCTCCTGAGACTCCAGAGGCTTCCCTCGAGCCTTCGGGAAGACGAAAACAGCCTTCCCTGGGCTCCAGAGGCCCTCTAGAGGCTGAAAACAGGCACTTCCGGTATTTCCGGAAGGCCGTTTTTCAGCCTCCTGAGGCTGCAGAGGCTTCCCTCAAGCCTCCGGGAGGGCGAAAACGGCCTTAAATGGGCCGAAAACCATCTGGGAGGCATGCACACGTGCAGTGCAGGTAAGGGGGTGGGGTGGGGTTGTTGTGCACGCATGCACAGGGGGTGGGGCGCATTGCTTTGTGGGTGCTGGCACGCGCATGCTTTTGGCACATCCCAATAAAAAGATTCACCTTCACTGGCATGGTTTTATCTTAAGTTTTATCTTACAATGCTGCAAACATTTCAAGGAGGATCCATTTATGCAAAAAGGTCTTCAGCCACAAGGTTAAGTTTCTAAGATAAAGCCAAAAACAAGGGATGGAAAACACAGGACCCTCACTCCCCACACCTCACAAACACAGGAAAGGAGCCTTTATGGTACCTTATTGAAGTGTGTACCTATGATTAATAAGGGATAACTAATGCATTACGCATGATCCTGACTACATGCTGCAGAAGGAAGACACACATTGATGGCCGAGAACTGACTGGGAATCCTACTGAGCATATGGAGGGGTTCTGGAGGTACAAGGGAAAAACCCACCGAGTCAAATCAAATCACTTTATTATCTCCACAGACCGGTGTTAAAAAAAATCCGAAATTGGAAAGAGAGAGAGAGTATGAAGACCTTTTGTTTCGCTTCTCGGGGCAGCAAGAAGTCACGTGGTTCAGTTTCTAGTGGAAATCAATTCTGATTTCTAAACCTTTTGTTTTGCCCCAAAGCGTCACCACAAAGGTGACAAGTTCTTGCCGTTCAATGGAATCACAACAATACTGCTCTGCTAGAGCAGCCCACACCTGCCATTTAAAGAAAAAGAAGAAGTTCTTGTCCTAAGCCCACAAAGAAATGAAGCAAGAAAACAATACGTAATATAGCATTGTCTAAGCAACCCGACCGTCAAGCGTTTATCATTTTTTTTCTTCACAGGCTACGGAACAGACAGAGAAAATTCCGTGAACTCACGTATCGAATAACTTGTAAGAACTGTAAAATTCTTCTGCCAAATAGGTATGACCAAAAAGGAAAATAAAAAGCAAAGCACAAGGGTGATCCCAATCTTATTACACATCCTGTCTTGCTCATAAAGTTTCGTGGAGAGGTACAAGATTTTTTTCCCCCATTGTTTTAATATCCTGTTCTTATTAACAAAGCACAGATTAAAAGAGAGGCAAAAGAAGTGAGATAATTGCACATTCTCTTTTTATTATTAGTTTAGAGGTAATTCTATCTGGAAATACTTTAATTTTCTCGGTCATGGATTTTTCGGGTGAGACTTCACTACCACACAAGCATTTTCCTGAAGATATTGGGTCCCTTCTTGTATAGATAAAGTGGTAACAAAATGAAACTTGCAATTCACTGAGTATGCCAAACAGAAGGGTTATGATCACTGTATTCCACCCATAATATCAGACTTTTAGGTATTTTAACCAAGCATAATTTAGGCTATACTCCATCAATTGGATGGCCTTCAGACGGAGACCAGGCAGCTTTGTAGCTACCTGCAAAAAATGCCATCTCAATCTACAACCTCTTATCAAATCAGATCGAATACTGCAAAGTCCCAATCCTAAAATGTTTCCCTACGTCCTTCTCCCTGGCCTTAAAAAAGAGAAAATAGGCAAGTTTTGTGGCAAAGAACACTCTCGGAAAACAACTGCTACACCCCAGATGGTAATATTTGTCACCTCAATTTCATCTACTTTATTTATTTATTAATCAAAATTGTATGGCTGCCCACCTCACCAAAAGAGATTCTGGATGGCATATAACAATTGAATAATAACGTAACGGTTCTAGAAGCAACAGATGTAAAAAGACAAATCCACATTAAAAAAATAAATAAATACACAAATAAAAACAAACATACAAACCCTGGGCAGAGAGGGGAGAAGAATGGCCATCTCAACAATGGAGCCAGCTAAGCATGCATCTGGATCTCAGGGAGCATCAAGCCTGATAAGACAACCAGGTCTTGAGGGACATAAATGATGTCAAAAGGGATGAAGCTAATTTAATTTTGGGGACAAGCATGTTGCATAAAAAGCTGTGAAAGTTGGAGCATAAGAAAGGCTGAGCCAAAGAATTGAGGCTTTTGAACTCTGGTGCTGGAGAAGACTCCTGAGAGTCCCTTGGACTGCAAGGACATCCAACTGGTCAGTCCTAGAGGAGATCAACCCTGACTGAAGGCCAGATCCTGAAGATGAAACTCAAAGACTTTGGCCACCTCATGAGAAGGAAGGACTCGCTGGAGAAGAGCCTAATGCTGGGAAAGACTGAGAGAAGAAGAAGAAGAAGGGGACGGCAGAGAAGGAGGTGGCTGGACAGAGTCACTGAAGCAGTTGGGAGTGAGCTTAAGTGGACTCCATAAGATGGTAGAGGACAGGAAGGTCTGGAGGAATGTTGTCCATGGGGTTGTGATGGGTCGGACATTCCATAAGGTGGGGTCCAAGGCAGAGAAGGCGTGTCTCCTGAGGTCCTCCAAACGTAGGTTCCTAGCTGACGGTACCTGCAAGCAGGCCTTCTCTGCCAGATCCAATGGAATGGGATGGTGTAACCGGAGAAAGGCCATCCCTCAGGCCGCCCAGTTCCTTGCCATGAAGGGCACTGGAGGTTAAAACCAGCATCTTTCATTGGAACTAGAAGCAAAATGGCAGCCAATGCAGCTCGCGGAGCAGAGGTGCCACATGAGCTGCTCTGTTTTGACATATGGTTAAAAGAATAACTCAGCTAAACCATAACGGTTAACTAGGCTTGGCACCCAAACTATTGCTTTTCTGAGCGAGCTATTTCTCACTTATTTCGCAAAGGCCAACAAAATTTTCCCACCAAGCAGACATTCAACTGGAAACTACCTTGTTTCTCCAACAATACGGCCTCCCCCAATAGGAAGTCCCAGCATGTTTTATAGGCATGAAATGAAATTAAGCCCCTCCCCCTAAATTAAGGCCTATATTAAAACACGTGAAATGGGGGGGAATGGTGAGGGGGGGGCTTGCCGTTAGGAAGTACTTTTGTTGCACACCCGGATATGGTGCTGCCTGCGTTGACCCCAATACGAAGTGCCCCACCAACGCCGAGGTCAACATCCAAGCCATCGCCGCCCGCCCACCCTAAGATGCAAGGGGGGAGGGAATTAAGTCACCCCCGAAAAGACGCCCTAGCCATTTTTTCAGGGCTCAAAAAAAAAAAAAACAAGACCCGGCCTTATTATATGAGAAACACGGTAGTAGAGGTGTTATGAAGCCAATTATATAACAACCTGACTTGCCTAATACAGTTTTTTTTTTACAAATGCAATTTGTTGTATGAATGCTTTAAACTTACAGTTGCACACTTACAATAATGTAAGTGTTCCTTCCTTCTTGAATTATCACACACAGAGGGGCTCTTGTGCGCTTTATACCCACTGAAAGTCTGTAGAGATTCTCAGTCATCCAGGTCATTGGTTGTCCCAAAGGTGCTTTTTTCAGGAGGCAACTGGACTTCCTTGTTTTTTCTTTTGAAGACGTTTCGCTTCTCATCTAAGAAGCTTCTTCAGCTCTGACAGGATAATCTTTCCATTCCCTATTATCCTGTCAAAAATGAGGAAGCTTCTTGGATGAGAAGTGAAATGTCTTCAAAAGAAAAAAAAAACCAAGAAACCTTTGGGTTTATACCCACCGCTATAGTTAAATAAATAAATAAATACAAATACACTCTTCTTAAATTTAATCATTTTGTATTATGTTTTTTTTTTACCCTTTTTGTCCTGCAACAGTGAGATGGGTGGCATGTAAGTTTAATAAATTTAATAAATAAAATAGAAAGGTTTTCAACAGAAATTTCTAAACACATATTCTATTGAAGCATAAAGCTACTGGTTTTCTTTTTATGGCTCCATGCCCTGTAGATAAGGTAAGCAAACACCTGTGCCTGTTAAGACTGTCATGTAAATTTGAGCATGGAAACCTCAGTACTTACCCTGACTACACTGAAGTCCAGCTTAGTTTCTTGTGCACACTGTAATATGAGCTGAAAGCAATTTTTACTCTGATTTGTCATTCCATTTTCATAGTAACGCTGCAATATCCTCTGTTGTTCTGCAGTAAATACAGAACGCAGATTCATCTAAAAATAAAAGAAGATACTCTGAAAAGAGGAATAATTTAATACTTACAGGGCATTAAAAAAAAAAGTACAGGCTCCCATTTATTTAAAGAAATAGAAAACTACAGCAGACTGACTCTAATTTATTCCGATTCCCCAGTGAATATTCTTAAATATAATTTACAAACACTCGAAAACAAAACGCAGTAACTATTCACATTCAGGAATTAAGTGTAGCTCAACACAAACAGAACTCCGATACTATTAAAAAGATTAAAAGGGTGTTTTACTAGAGAAAAACGGGCTTTGTCTCTTCTTAGTAACACTCAAACAAAACAAGCAAGTAAACAAGAAAAAGGGATACAGAGTGAAGTTGCAGGCAGAGAGAGGTCTTGGTTCTCTATTGATCCCAGAGACACAATTGTGAAACCTAATTCACTTTTTCCTGACCTGAGTCTCTTTTATTGCCCCCGATGAATGCTAAGTAGGCTAAGATTAATGTGATTTGTCGCCTCAGATATCTGCAAAGTTGCAGAGAGGACTGATAGAGCAGTCTATCACTAAGCTCTAAGCTTACAGGAAGCTCTTGGCTTGCAACCATTCACTTAGTGACTGTTTGAAGTTACAACGCCACTGAAAAAAGTGATTTATGACTGTTTTTCACACTCACGACCATCACAGCACCTCCATGGTCACATGATCAAAATTCAGAGGCTTGGCAACGGACTCATAGTTATGACGGTTGCAGTGACCATGATTTTGTGACCTTCTCACAAGCAAAGTCAATTGGGAAGCCGGATTCATTTAACAATGGCGTTACTTGCTTAACAACTGCAGTGATTCGCTTAACAACGGTGGTGTGAAAAATGAGTAAAATGGGGCAACGTTCAGTTAACAAACATTTCACTTAGCAACAAAAATTTAGGGCTCAATTGTGATCGTAAGTTGAGGACTGTCTGAATTAGTTACTATAGTTTGTAAACACTAGCTGGAAATGAGACAGTATAGTATGAAATGAGCCAGACATGATTTGTCCAGTAATCTATAATGAGGTTATCATTATGGCTTTATCCAACCCATGGCAAAATGTGACATGTTATATTGCAGTCATTTGGATGCAGTATTGCAGGCTAATTCTGCTGACTGCCAGCAGTTTGATTCTCACTGGCTCAAGATTGACTCAGCCTTCCATCCTTCTGAGGTCAATAAAATGAGGACCCAGATTGTTGGGGGCAAGAGGCTGACTCTGTAAACCGCTTAGAGAGGGTTGTAAAAGCACTGTGAAGTGGTATACCCAGTCTAAGTGCTACTGCTATATAAAAGCCGTAGTGGTGTACTTGTTAAAATGCAGTACTACAGGCTAACTCACTGCCAGCAGTTCAATTCTGATCAGCTCAAGGTTGACTCAGCCTTCCATCCTTCCGAGGTCAGTAAAATGAAGACCCAGATTGTTGGGGGCAAGAGGCTGACTCTGTAAACTAGTTAGAGAGGGCTGTAAAGCACTGTGAAGCAGTATATCAGTCTAAGTGCTATTAACATTGTTATGTTAATACCAAATATATGTTGTTATATCATACAGATTCTGTCAAGCAAACATATTTTCTTAACATTGTTGGTGGTTTTGGCTAAGACATACTTTGATTTTCTTGAATATTCAAACTGCCCAAGGAGCTGCTGGTACAGTTCTACAGAGGAATTATTGAGTCTGTCATCTGCACCTCTATAGCTGTCTGGTTTGGTTCTGCAACCCAACAGGACAGACGCAGACTTCAGAGGATAATTAGGACTGCAGAAAAAACAATGACTACCAACCTGCCTTCCATTGAAGACTTGTATACCGCACGAGTCAAAAAGAGGGCTGTGAAAATATCTACAGACCCCTCATATCCCGGACATAAACTGTTTCAACTCCTTCCCTTAAAACGACGCTATAGGGCACTGCACAGCAGAACAACTAGACACAAGGGGAGTTTTCCCCCGAAAGCCATCACTCTGCTGAACACATAATTCCCTCAACACTGTCCAAATATTTACAAAGTCTGCACTAATATTACTATTAATCTTCTCATCACTCCTTATCACCCACCCCATCCCACTTGTGACTGTCGCTTGTATCCTTACGATTTATATTGTTTCCTAGTATGATTTGTTGATTGTACGCTCTGACTATCATTTAGTGTTGTACCTTATGATTCTTGACTCTTAACGAATGTATCTTTTCTTTTATGTATACTGAGAGCTTATGCACTAGAGACAAATTCCTTGTGTGTCCAGACACACGTGGCCAATAAAGAATTCTATTCTATTCTAATTCTAGTTCGGCTGCACCACCAGCATAGCATAGTCTAAGAAAGAACATGGACACTGCTTGAGCAGCTGTTTCTCCTGTTTTCTGCTCCTGTTGTGTGCTACTTCCTTAATAACAGAGGTGAGCAAGATGCTGATCTATATCTCAGTTGAAAGTTGTTCCTCTTTTGACAACCTTGCATCAATATATTGGGATTATCAATCAGGTTCTCAGAGGTGCCTATTGATCCCATTCTTTAAACAGAGAGACATCAAGTTTGACGGAAAAGTCAATAGCTGAAACGAAGCAAACACTAATGAAAACGACTTCCGATAGAAGTCAGTGAACAAAGAAATGATACAAATCAATGCTAAAAATACTTCTGCTAAAGCCATTTCAAGATTGCGAGTTAGCTGTTATTTCCAGTAGGTATGCTATGGAAGGGGTCACCAACCTTTTGGACCTCAGGGACCACCAAACTCACAATTTTAACTCCTGTGGACCACTAATATGAATTTTAACAGATGGTGGCTTGCTGACATTTTCCCAGAAAGCAGCAGAGACCCTGGGAAAATCCCCCAAAAGGTCTGCAGGAAAATTCCCTACCCCGTTTTCTTACTGATCGATCATTCTTTATTTGGGACCGCAGGATACCATCTCCAGCTCCGTTCACAAGGAGAGAGAGGGAGGGAGGGAGGGGGAGAGAGAGAGAGACAGAGACTGACTTTTGGCTTCATGCAAGGGAAGCAGCAGAAGTCTTTCTTTCTTTCTCTCCCCCAAACTCCACCAGAAACGAGTCTTTGCTGGCACAGCCTCTTGGAGCAGGAGGCCTTGCAAGGTCCCAAAGACTCATTTCTGGTGGAGTTTGGGGGAGAGAAAGAAAGACTTTTGCTGCTTTCCTTGCATGCAGCCAAAAGAAGAAGAAGAAAGAAACGGAAAGAAGCAGCCCAGTGGCCAGGCCAGGTGTCCCTCGGCCCTTTCTCCCCTCTCCTCACTACCTTGTGATGTGATGCAAGTCTTGTGTTCCCACAGGCCATGTGGGCAGCGCAGCCTTGTGTTCCTGCGCAGCCTGGATTAATTCCTTTGGGGGTGACATTACTCTGCGGAGCACCAAAATTTTCTCATGGACCATCAGTGGTCCCTGGCCCACTGGTTGGCAACCACTGTGCTATAGCACTAGCACTTAGACTTATAGACTTCACAGTGTTTTACAGCCCTCTCTAAGCCATTTACAGAGTCAGCCTATTGCCCCCAACAATCTGGGTCCTCATTTTACCCACCTCGGAACGATGGAAGGCTGAGCCAACTTTGAGCTGGTCAGGATCAAACTGCTGGCAGTGAGCAGTGAATTAGCCCTGCAGTACTGCGCCACCATGTCTCTTAAGAAAGTAGACATTAACCCACAAATTACACTGAGATTCAATGTTTTTGTGCTGAGTGATAACAACCATCCTACCGTTATTAACTTACAAGTAGTCCTTGACTTACAACAGTCTGTTTGGTGACTGTTCTGGCTTCTCCATTTGCCACCTTCCGACAAGCAAAGTCAGTGGGGAAGCCAGATCCACTTAACAACTGGGTTACTAACTTAACTACAACAGAGATTCACTTAACAACGGTGGCAATAAAAGTTGTAAAATCAGGCAAAATTCACTTATCTCGCTTCACAGCGGAAATGATGGACTCAATTGTGGTTGTAAGTCAAGGACTATCTATATTTTAAAATAAATGTGATCCCATCAGATGCATCCGTAACAGATCATTGAAGTGTTCTGAATGCTTTTCTATTTCAAAAACGTTGACAGGATCATCTAAGTGACCTAGGCCAACTAAGTTGTTTCTATAATAACAACAGAATAGCAGAGTTGGAAGGGACCTTGGAGGTCTTCTAGTCCAACCCTCTGCTGAAGTGGGAAACCATATACAATTTCAGATAAATGGTTGTCCAATCTTTTCTTAAAAACCTCCAGTGTTGGAGCATTCACAACTTCTGGAGCAAGCCATTCCATTCATTAATCACAAGTAGCTTCTGGTACATGTAAAATAATGGCATGACACATTTCTTTATCTTTAAGGTGACACAAGATGTACGAAAAACTCAACAGCACATTTGTTCTTCTCTAGCTCTATTGTGAAGGAAACCATATGTTCAGTTCCATAGAAGGCTTAAATTGGCTAGAACCACTCCGAGGATTCCTTCCCCCCCCTCCTTATGATACCCAAAACACAAGTATTGACATATCAACACAAGCTTAGACTTAATTGGAAAACCATATATAAATGTGTAACCTCTTGTAATTTTCATGCCACAAAAAAACAAATAAACAGAGCCTTCCACTACTATAGCCACATAGCAAATGATAAAAAGGCATGCATAAGATATAAGGTGGAGTAGATGTTATTCTTTACTGCCATAATTGAGGAAGCCAGTTTGGTCTAGTGGTTAAGGCACCAGGTTAGAAACCATGAGATCGTGAGTTCAAGTCTTGCCTTAGCCAGGAAAGCCAGCTGAGTGCCAAAGCCATTGAGGGCCAATCACCAGCAGACGGGGTGAGTTCTAATCTCACCTTAGTCATGAAGCCAATTAGGTGACTTTGGACCAGTCACTCTCTCTCAACCCATCCCACCTCACAGGGTTGTTGTTGTGGAGAAAACAAGAGGAGGAGGAAGGAAGATGTGTTGGATGTGATCACTGCCTTGAGTGGTGAAAATAATAAAGGAAGGAAATGAATGA